ATTCTATCACTATCGACAAGTATTTTTTGGTATTATACAGAAAAGAAAAAAACAAGATGTATGTTTTGATATTAGAAAAGAAATATATTACTGAATTCAAATGAATTGTTCTGACTAAAGATAAAAGGACAATAAACATTCATCGAAATTCTAGTTTAATTGGTTTGAATAAATCTCTTTTTTTGAGAGACAATGAAAATTTAAAACTGGATAGAAAACTGTTATAACTTGTGAACCTGTGTGCCCTGTTTATTGCATAACGCAACGATACCGCCAGTCAGAGAGCAGCGAACTATCGATCGAACCAGTGACGCATAAAACATGTGCGAGCAGCCTAGAGTCCTGATTGGTCCTGCTCTCCGCTTAGCCCAGCCAGTTAAGTCCAGAACACCAATCTCAGCCTCCGTGATATGAATCATGTATTTCAAACATACTGGGTTTATATACAAATCAAACAGACCACATCACACTATAAAATAGAAAATAACATTTGTACAATATTTGGCCAAAAGTGGCTGTGAATGAGGGAGGTAGTGATTAACAGACAGGGAATAATTCAAGAATGGTAAATCGTATGATAAATAGTTCATAGGTCAAAATAAAACTTATAATAAGAGGGACATGAATATAAACAGTTTAGTTACATAACAATTACACGATAAAAATATACTCATAGTATTGATCCTTAAATGGATCCCAAGAATTATCATTCACTATTCTTATCGGGAGATAACAAAAACTGATATGGTTCTATGTATGGAATATGATAGATAGAGGTTTATTATTCATTGTATCAATTTACACTAATTATTAGTCAGATTTTTAAAACTTTCAACTTCATATTGATGTAAGACGGTTGGAGGTTGTTTATAGGTGATTATTAACCTGCATTTTGTTCCATCCGTCAGCACGGCATACCTGTACATCTTGACAGAGTGCATACAATGTCAATTCACATAGACTATTGACCATGTCATAACTTAATAGGTAGAATTCTATTAGCACTAAGAAGGATTCGACATAAATGACACTTATCACAACTCAGTGATCAGTCAGTTGTAAACTGTGTAGCACTAAACGTTACTTCAGTCAATGATTTACTGTAGGAACACAATTTAAGATATCACGAGACTAAACCTCTATAAGCAAGAAATGTAACTAATTTACCGAGCTATGATATTAATCCTTCCTAAATTACGCTTATTCATAACTCAAACTACTGAGCATCTTGTAAGAGACCAAGTTCAAATCTTTAACTATATTTTTGATAGATATGACAATAGGTCTAGTTTCTCTGGTTTACAATATAAACTACTTTTTATCATCAGTCTAGGGGTTGTGGAGATTGTTGAGTTTTTGATTGAGATCATGAGCTGATTGATGTTAGGCCAACATTGAAAACCTGGAAGCACTGGACGGCCGTTTCGTCCTATTGCGGGACTCCTCAGCAGTGCGCGTCCACGATCCCGCTCGCAGGATTCGAACCCAGGACCTTCAGTCTCGCGCGCGAACGCTTAACCTACTGGACCACTGAGCCGGCATACAATGATGTTAATGTCTAACCTCAACCAATCCACGAAGTTGCGCGACCATCTTCCACTGCACTGAGGTAGACACCTGTTTCTACCCAACACGGACCGCCGTGACCACTGGAGCTAATCCGTACTTCTTATCACTTATCTTCGAGGATTTATCACTGAAGTTAGTAAATACCGTTTATCAGTTCATGGACTGGAAATCTCAGTTAATAGTTACACTCTGTCAGAACTTATAAGTTTAACAATCTGCTTATGATTAATATCTAATAACTCGAGGTGATCTCAGGTTCTATTAGAGGTATGAAATCGGTTATCATATGACGGTTACCTATAACGTGAAAGTGTGATTTTTCGAGAAGCTTTTTGAGGGAAAAATTGGGTTATAAGCTCAGTTAACAACCTGAAACCGAGACTGCAGAGCCTGTTACCCATGGTTATTTTTTGAGTAGTTTCCGATGTGTTTGCTTCGTAATTTTAAGGTCTGTGGGGCAAGGTAAGGCATGATAGTTTCAGGGTTAAACTAAGTTGATCATTGTCGGGAGACATACTCTTTACAGATAGTGGTTGTCTGAGGGAAGCACTTTATTCTTATCACTTCATCCTGTAACCAGTTGGTAATTTTAAATTTTCATACGTATCAATTTTATTCAACGAATCCATTTTTAAATCGTTTCACACCACAAACTGTGATACATACTGGAAAATAACTGAAAATCAAGAGACTGACAGAAGTTCGGAATATTAATTATAGGTTTTAAATTTATAGATCTAAACGTATCGTTTTATGCTAGGGTTGAAGCTATCACGAGTCCACTTAATCTGCGAACGAGAAACAAGACTCAGTGACCAAAGACCAGTAAGCTAGCTATTGATGCGTCCCAGCCCCGCTAACTAGAGGGAGAAGTCCAAGGTTGGAATGGGGAAGTATATTCTGCAAACAGCCAGAAACGAGCGATCACAACAAACAATTCAAAACGTATATATATACAGTGCAAAACCGTCCTTGGGGAGAGTTACCAAATAGCATACTAAAAGACGCAACGGACCAATAGCAGTTAAGATATTTCCCAGTGGAAAATACGACATGAAGGTGACAAGAGCGCCTTTGGCGCGAAAACAAAGAAGTTCAAATTTTCCAAATAAAATTACAAAATTAAGTTCTTTCCCAAGTGAGTTCTGGGGATCTAACATCCCCAACAGTTTAATTGTGTATGGGGTTATATGTGCATACTAACTAGTAATAACTGTTCAGGAATAGGAAGAAACGGTGATTTCGTATTCACTGTTTTTTCTGTAATTTTTATGAATGCTGTCAGTTCATCATGAAAACTAGTTTAAATGATAATTTCCGTTCGAATAATAATCTAACTCCAATTCGTTATATTTTAGTGTTCTAAGTCGATTCAGGTCATATAAACAATAAAATTTAGCACACATTGTAGTAAACTCATTTATTTACCAAGTATGCTATACTGTATAAGAGAGTGATAAATGTCAATATATGTTCATTTAACCCAGTTTTGTCATGATATAACGATTTTCTTTTACCCTAAAATTCGTGTTTTACTTCATATTACCTTAAAAGTGTATAATGTGTCATATAAACAGTTTCATCCTTTTGTTATTGTGCCGATCAGATTTAAGGTAGCATGTCTTGGAGTTTAACGCGGAATTCATTCGTCCGTATGTCCAAAAAGGGGTGGGGATAAACTCCACACTCAATCTCAGTTTCGACCTTGGACCTGGCAACCAACCGTAATGAAGCGGGAATTCTTATTTACTCGATCGTAATTCATGATGAAAAGAGTCTTTCACTTGTTGTCGTCTTTGTTGGCTTACACAGATAACGGAAAGTTTTCTACGATGAAAATGCCGTTTCACCATGCTGCGGACATTTAAGGTGTAGTGCAGTCAGTCTTGATAGAAGAAAAGTTACAACAGCAAAAGTCATGCGTCCAATTAATTCTACAATAGAAATTATTTTAAAATATCGACAACTGAGTGACTGAATAAATGAAAACATGACCGTAATTACTGACTACGATACACTTAGATGACTTCACAATGTAGAGTTTATCCCTAAACCTAAGTAGTACTTTGGGATTATAGCTGATGTTAGTTGGTGATGAAAACCCCCAACTCTAATCTATAAACCTAACTTCTAACTCTAAATCCCGATACTGACTTATACTAAATTATGGTCTTCTTTAGATTCTACTGGAAAGGTGAACTTTCTCAACGTCACGTTGAGGTCGTCCATAAATGGTTGTCCTACTAGACTGTTAATTAGATGGGCTTACCTAAGAATCTGAAAAGCTGATTTGATAGTATTTCATACAATTTTTGTAAAGTAGCATTCATAATTTTAATATTCGGCCTGGAGGTGAATTTATACACCTATTTCCAAAGCGTTCGATTATCTGATTCAACCATTTTCTTGGAATCGTTAAGCAATTAAAGAGTAAAACTTGCATGTTGACTAATGAATAATATGCGTTCAAAATTAAATAGGGATGGCTGAAAATGAACTTGACCATGAACCAGACTAAATTCTTCATTGATTGTACCATATAAAGATTGTGATGTAAACTATAAGTCGTAGTGAATAAGCAGAATCTTATCATGATCACGAATCAATACTACTTAGACAACTACTGAACAACTACTAAACAACTACTGGACATCTGTTTTGTCCTAGTATGAGACTTCTCTGGATTCTGGAGGTTAAGAACTTACCTCAATAATTCAATTTCCTACGTTCAATCCGCAGTGACAGGTTTTTGTGTGCTCACTGCCGAGGAATTCCATACAAGAACAAAAAAGCTAGGTAGAATCCCATGGTTTTCAACAGCACTCCAAATATAATAGATCTGTAACGAATTCAGCCTATAAAAAACCTAAAGTTCTCAAAATTCCTATGATCTTATTGTTTAAATCTTAATAGTGGGGAGGATTAACCAATAGACATCAAAATGAAAATATTGAAAGCTTCCAGCTAAAGACGAAATTAGGGAAAGACGGTTTAGTTGCATAGTACATACATTATGGAAATCCCAAAACTGCATCACAAGATAACCCCTAACTCGAAATCCTTAAGAGGGGAAGGAGAAGAGGAATACCAAGTTACACATTGAGCTGAGAAATGAAATTAGACATCAAAATAACTGGAAAGGAATATCAAAGACAAAATTCAATCGGAGAATCCTGGTAGGCAATTTATGCTCCTTCATGAGGGTTAACAGGCATAAGTAAGTAAGTAAGTATTTAACTTAACAAAATAGTCTAAAAACAAATTAATAGACTATATATACCAGATTAATTTCCATAAGATTTTGTTTTAATTTCAACACACAAAAATATTATATTTATATCATCATGAACTATTTCCGTACATCACATACTCGGGAAAAAAGGAAGATTTTTATTCAAAGAAAATGTCAACACTTTAGAAGAGCAAGAAAATTACGAAAGATCTGTTGAATTGGAATACTTCAGTGTATTAATATTATTATTATTACCATCAGTAGTCGAATTAATAGTATCATTATATAAATGTTGTTGAATAAATGTTTTGTGTGTAGTAACACTTGAAAATACATACCAACCATTTCCAGCTATTGATGTAATACCAATAACACGTCCATTGATATCAAATATAGGACCACCACTATCACCAACATCTGGTCCTTGATGATTACGATTAATATTAGAACAAATTGCTCCATTTGTTGGTATTTTAATATGTTTTGGACATTCACCTAATTTTATTATACCTATATAAGTAGAATTATACATAGTTATATATGTATATATATAAAAGAGAGAAGGAAGAGAGAAAGAGAGAGAGAGAGGGAGAGAAAGGGAGAACTACTTACTTACCTAAACGTAATTGACCTATTGAATTTTCCATTGATTTATCTTCACCATAACCCAAAACAAAAAAATCCTCATCATTTTTTTCTTGTGTATTATTTATTGAATAATTATAATTTAATGAACCAATTTCAATCCATCCTTTCATAAGATTAAATTTTCTATTCAATGTTAATATAGATATATCAGGTGAACCACCAAATTCATCATGATTATCAATAAAACCATGATTAAGTTGATCACATTGATTTTTATAAGTGATAGGATAATTAAATTGTGTACCGAATCGAAATTGTGTATAAGGTGAAAATCGTTCATCAATATGTGTTAAATTTGCATGAACCTAAAATAAAAAAAAGAAACAAATAAGATCTAAGATATTTCAATATTAGTCGTGACTCAGTGGTAACGTCTCTGACCATGAAACTGAGTGATACGGGAAGGAATTCGTCAGGGAGTATCAGTTCTCTTAAGATTACAGGTACACCTTGTTGACGAATGTCAAGCATTTATTATTTATTTATTTATTTAAACACGTAAACATTGGTACAAGGTGATATTAAATATTTATACACCACATAAATCATTTGATTTTTGTGAGAGCTGCCCCGGTGCCCAAACCGAAGCAGGTGGTTTTCATAGGGGGTGACACGCGGAACCTTCGACCTAATGGTCTGATCCATATGGCAGTGGATCAACGTCGTAAACAACACTCCTGCCGCGAGAAGGCAATGAGTATCACGAAACCTAGGTCCAGGGTTTCCTGATGACTACCTCCAACTATTATCTTATCGCAACATAGTGTACACAATGTCAAGTCATCTAGACTGGTGGTTACATTGCAACTTGGTCGATAGGATTCCATCTGCATTAAGAAGGAAATGACATACATGAAATTGATCATTACCCAGTGAACAATCAATTGAAAGTGAGAAAAATAATAATTAAGTGAAGAGATTAAGAAAAGAAGTAGAATTTATCATTTTAGTCTTATAGTGGCATGGCTTCGGGATAATTCCTAAAGCTTCGTTTTTCAATCACCCTAATAATCGTTATTAAATAAACCCCAATGTTGTATAAATTTAGAAAGCAACAGAAAGCACCAACCACAGTTTATAATTGGATATCTCAGATAACAAAGTTGTAAACGCACCAAGCGAATTTGAGCAGAAAGGTTAATGCGCGCGAGCAACCGAGTAAAGAGGTGGATTCAGAGTCAAATCTAATCGGATCGAAGAAAGGCAATTAATTAGATTTAAGCACATATACACATGGAAAAGCGAATGAATCATCGAGCGTTAGTTAAGTAACTAACATTTAAGCTAGAGAGATATATATGAGTAGGTTGTTACATGTAACCAAGAATACATGTCATACAAACAAGATAGTAATGATAATAATAAAAGATATAGACAAATTGTTACTGTTCTAATAACACTGTCTGTCAAATAAGTTAGTAAAAGAGCTCGACAAAATTGATCGTAAACAAACTTCACTGTAGAAGAGGTTCTATAGTTTTATAGTCTTCGAATAATTGATTATAAATATATATTGGATGCTAACTGGAAATCGTGTAATTTTTAACCTGATCTGTTTACTAACTAATGTTTTACAACTAAATACGTAGTGACTGAGTATAATGAATACATCTATACGAAACTAATTGGTCATGAAGTAAAAACGCTGAAACTTATGTTTATCTATTACTAAAGAATTACAATTCAAGATGGGTTTATTGGAGTTCTAATAGAAGCCGTAACCAGTGCAGTCCAATCCGTATCAGATATGAGACAGCTCTCTGTATCAGACAATGAACGAAGGATTACACAAGATCATGAATCGATTGAATTTAGACAATAACACCTTTGGGTACTGGCTCAGTATGGTTTAGAGGTTAAGTGTTCGCACGCGAGACCGAAGGTCCTGGGTTCGAATTCCGCGTGCAGGCTTGTGGGTGTGCACTACCGGGAAGTCTCATACTAGGACAAAACGGTCGCCCAGTCCCTCCAGGTTTTTAATGGTGGTTTAGCTTAGATTGACTCGTGAATTCAAATGTAAAAATTAAAATTCCTTCAAATATTTAATATTATTCGACATATTTTAGATTGAACCCAATTATAATTATGCAATCAACTAAAGTGATGTAGAGGTGTTGAACTGAAAAGAGGGGGACATGGGGAATATAATGAAAACGCTCTGAAAATGTAGTACATTGATAGGGTCAGTTTTTTGAGTTCATTGTTAGGGGATTATCCTAAAAAACACGTTATTATTATTATTAATGGCTTTATTCAATATTATATTTTTGGTACAACTTAGAATTCTCGACACAGAACATTTCGACAAGTTTCCTTTTCTCATTTCTTGATCAATCCTGATGATAAATACTTATTTGTCTCCAGTTAAATATTAGCAGTTCAAGAATCCATATCTGAATAATGTTCATTCTTTTCAATACATATTGCCAGCAACCATAAATGTCGCTGATTGTACTTTCTGTAATTTGTACAGCGAAAGGTTGTAAACTTTTCATAAACACACCTGAATAGCTTATGCGATTGATAGACATAATGATGTGTTAAAACAAATAAAAACAGATAACTTGTTGAAATATCTAGATGGCAGGAACAGGTAGTCCAGATATTCAAGTAGGCCGCCAAGACACCGATATGTAATATTGATACACAAAGTACTTAGTTTAGACAGTACAAGATTACTCAAATTCAATACATAAAACTTTTTCTATCGTCATGGATTTGTTTTAAATAGAGGCGAGATATCATTCAGATATGTTACAATCATAGTAAAGCTGTAAGAACGGTAAAATAATCCTACAAGTTACTCTTTTAGTTTCTAGATAAATGGATTATTTCATTCTAATAGATTGTTACTTACTTTAAACAATGGATATATACAAGATTTCTTGTCATCAACTGAAATTGATTATCTAACCAATGAAATCTTTGAAGCATTGAATAAATAAATTTTTTGACTTCGTTCAAGATTCCTCCCTAGTGTACGCATACACATAACTCATGTACAATTAGATTGAGAATACTTAAGTCTTCCAGTAATCAAGATAGCATTGAACAAGTGAGTTGGAATCCAATAGTTTATAATTTCAACTTGCAACATAGCAGTCATTGTTCAATATTATCTGAGATATCTATCTCATACATGATATTAATCACTTCATGGGTCACAGTTTTTTAGTAAGACGCTCAGAAATTCATCTTCAGGTTAATCATTAGTTAGTTGGTGGTTATTACTGATGAAAGTGTGTTTATGATGTTTTTTCCAGTATGATGATAAATTAACTAGTGTTAAAATAATGTTCATTAAATGGTAATTCAATAGTTTAGTTATATCATACTTAAAACAAAATTGTAAGTTTCTTTTGACCTTCTCATTCTGTGCATAATTTTTGTTTCTGTAATTTTCTGAGAAATTCCAAATTAGTCGTTGTTAGTTTGAGTAGTTTCTACCATTACGTTCAATCAAACCTTCATCAGGTTTTACTCCAATATACGTAGCTATATATATATATATATATATATATATATATTATAAAGCGTGGGTAAAAATATTTATTTTGGCCCAAAGACGACGTGAGTTTGAAAAGCCGAGAAATCTTCATCTCACTAGTCCTTCGTGTTTTTATTTTGAGCCGTAGTAGCTGAAGTGGTTCCCTCTTCAAAGTATAAGTAGTATGATACCGGAATTGCAGTGATTCCTGATTGTTAAATATAAGCAGTAAGATCACAGACTAAACATGTACAATAACAGCAACGATACGCAAACATAGCAATGGGGACGATTCTAGATAAAACAGTGACGAGGGGCGAATCTAACACTTCTATTTATAGATAGTTTTTATACGGTCTCTATGGCATGGAACAGCAACTTTACAGCTATATCGTATGCAGAATGCACTTATCTAAATCTAGGAGAAGGGTAGTTGAAATTTGTAAGCTAATATAATCTACGTGATTGTTATTACTGACGAACAAGTATTCATGATGTACAATCTATTTGTATTAGTTGCAGGGATCTTCCGATTAATGCTTACGAGTACAATTGGTCAGTCTGTTTTAGAATATGCAAATCCTGTATGGATTGCCTCGATATCGTCATTAAGTCACAAGCATTATAAGTAGAGACATATGGTGGCTAGTAGTGAAATCCAGGACGCACGTTCCGTCCTACTTAGAACTCAACAGATAGATGTATCTGGGTCCCAGAATTGATATTCACTCCGTAGCTATGTCGAGATAATGTGATGATGTTGAGTTCGAGTCCCGAAATGAATATCAACTCTGGGGTTCAGGTACATCAAAACGGACAAGTTCCAAATAAGACGAAACCTACATCCTGAATTCCACTGCTAGCCACCTATCTATTGTTTAAAAGTTAAATGTCTTAATCGTTAAGATATTATTTCATCTTATACATTAGTAACTATCATTCATTCAATTATATTAAAAATCATTATACAAATATTTATCATAAACCATAAATAAACAACAACAACAAATTTATTCTTGCCTACCTACTTCATATGTTGGATCACCACATGCACAATGTCCAGCTGTTAAAACTTTATCAGGTGCTATAATTGTTCCAGTACATAAATGTGTATTACCAAGTAATAATACAATCATTGGAAATTCACCAGGATTTACTGGATAACCATTTTGTATACGATATTCTAATTGTGTTGCTAATAACATCAGTAAATTCATGAATATACATAGAATAATTAAAATAATAATAATAATCCAACTATTTGTCAATTTTATACAATAACTCATTATTGATATGAATTTATTCCTTTTTTTCTAACTGATAATGAAGATTTCCGAGTATTTAACGACAAGAACAACAACAACAAAAACAAAACTGCCAACGAAATTACACCAAAAAAAATTTTTGTAAGTGCTTTATTGGTTGTTTTTTTCTCATTCACTACCACCACCCCCAGCACCAACAATAACAATAACGACAAAAAACATTGAACACGCATATCTAGTGTACTATTGAACGATGGTCACATGATTTACTAATGTCGTATTATTTAATTAATATGGAACAAGTAACTTTAACAACAGGTCAGTATAATAATGAAGATTATTTTTTTTTTAAATTTTGAATCAAGATATAATTTTATTAACACATTACTTACTTAAGTTTGTTAACCCTTATAGAGCATAGATTGTCAATCAGCAATGTCCAACTCACTGTTTTATTTTGGCTCTTCTTTCCAGTTATTGTCAAGTTCTATTTATTCTTTGGATATAGGCTTCCATTTCTTTGTGTAGTGTGTTCTGTTGGTCATCTCTATCAAGTTTATATTGAGGATTTCGAATTAAAGCTTGCATTGTGATCCAGTTTGATGATTTCTTCAATATGTGTCACCACCTATTTTCCTAATTTCTTATTTAACTGGAATCTGCTTTGTTCTCTGTCACAGTAGATTGTTGTTGGTAATGTCTGGTCAACGGATCTGGAGGATTTTGAGTGGACAGCTATATGTAAATGGTTTTGCTTTTTTGATGATGATTGTAGTAGTTCTCGGAGTTTCAACTCCATACAATAGAACTGTCTTCACTTATATATATATATATATATATATATATATAGATTGTAGATTGTATACATACATTGAATTATTGATTAATTTATCCCGAATCCTAACCAGTTCAGTGTATTAAATTTGACTACTGATCAGTTAAATAGATCTGATATAACTCATTATATTGTTTACATGGTTGCTGATCAGTCTGTTGGTAATAAATTATTCATCCGTAGTCTTACCTACACACTTATATCGATCGGTATCAATCAGTCTTGTTCAGTTAAACTGTAGAAATATTTTGATCCAGTTACAATAGTTACTAGTCTGGGCGGTTGGAAATTTCACATACCATATCTGGATGTCAGATGTGTGGAAAGAGTGGGCCCTAAGTATTTACTTCGTGCTAGTTGGCACTCATCATCAGGTGGGGGATCTGCAAACTTGAGGGAACTAATACTCCCTGCTGAGAGTCGAACCGTCACCCAGTATTACACTGAGGAACGTTAACAATTAGGCTAATATTTTTTCTAAAGCCTGAAAAAAAATCAACTTAGGATAAACGCTCATGTTTAGTTGAACAGGTGTTTACTCTAGGTATTTATTTGTAGATTCTTGACCTCCTTTTACAGAGTTTTCGTACAAAAAACTATTTGACACCGGTTAAGGAACATTTTTAAGGCAACACATGTGTTACTTTATTTATTTATTTAAACACATAAACATTGGTACAAGGTAGTACCAAATATATATGCACCACAATTCATCATTCAATTTGTGTGGGGGCTGGAATACTACCCGGGTGCCCAAACCAAGGCAAGTAGTTTTCTCAGGGGGCAGTACCTGGAGCCTTCGACCTAAAAATCACTTTTACCTGTCCTTTGATCAACCAAGACGGGTGGTAGTGTGGTATGTGATGACGGACTTGTTGAATTGTACGCTCTATATAACTGGCTCCATAGGAGCAATTGAATTGGCTAATACGCATGGATGTGGCAAATTTAGACAGTTTGTCAGTAAAGACAAACAGACAAACCGTCCGTTATCTTAGTTTGTGCGACCATATCACTTCTAATTTACATGAAATAATCATAATCACTGCCTGTGAACTCCATTGATACTTAATCGGATTCAAATATTATTTGACCTTAAAATGTTCCTTAATGTAGACAATCGTTTTAAGAAGATTAAAGTTCAGTTACCATTAATATTGCATTATATTATGGTAGGTATTTCTATGGCTGAGGTCTAGTGAACTAATATTTAAATAAATCCTTTTAAAACCCTAATGAATATGCTACATAATAACTTAAAATAATAATAATAATAATCAGATTTCAGTTAACGGATTAGTAATACAGTTTCATGGTTCAACAAATGTCGATATCATCTCATGAAAACTGATCTGTTTACTAACTGAACATATTAACCTGAATAACAATTTTTAATCTTAGACTCGCTAAGCTGGTCAATTTAGGTATTTCATGACAAAATTAAAATTAAGTATATGCTGTATGCTACTTATGTTGACAGATATAAGTAGTATGTAAAACCAATTATAAGTAGAATGCCTGTCAGTAGAAGATTGAAAAGATCAAATTGAAGAGAACAGGAATATAAACAGAGAGTAATTTTAATGAAAATAGAATTGAAAGAATCATGAAACATTTAAAGGAAAACTGAAGGAAAATGAGCAAATGATGTATTTTACGTATGGTTATCATATTTTATAAAAGCTCTCTGAAATTTGGACTAAACAATAGATTGGTTATCTTTACCGAGTCTTCCTTTACTACAAGTAAAGTGAAACATTAGGATATAGGAGTCATGCTGAAAAGAAAATGAACATCATATTATTCTCACAAAATACTATCTACGTTTTAATCACTTGTCAGAAGTGGTTATCATTGAAAAATAGAGCTATTCGGGTTTGGTATTAAAGTATTTACATATTGGCAAGAAGTACAGAAATGTTTAATAGATAAATAAAATCATTTTAAATGTGATTTTTTAAAGGATTGTTGAAAAGGCACTGAATACAATGTATGTGACCAATAAGATCATGAATCGATCAATGTTAGATTACCGCTGAGAAACTAGAAGTACCGGATGGCTGATTCGTCCTAGTATAAGACTCCCGCACGCGGGGTTCGAACCCAGGACCTTTGGTTTCGTGAGCAAACATTTGATCCCTAGACCACTGAACCGAGCTCAAACAGTATTAATGTCTAACTTCAACCAATCCACGATACTGCACGACCATCTTACGTTGTCTTCGGTGGGTAATTGCTTCACACTCGACACGATTGAATTTCATTGGTTACAGCTTCTTAATAGGAGTCCAATACTAGAGAACGTAACGACCTTCCAGTGCTTCCAGGTTTTCAGTAGTGGTCTAGCGTTGATCGGTTCACGATTTCAATGGAATTCAACAATCTCCACAACTCCATACTTTAAATCACTTTTGTCAACCATAAATATTTCTCACCTGAATAACGTCTTATAGCATTCCTGTTGAAAGGTAATAGTCAAGAAACATAACATTCAGTCTAGGAATATTCATTCTAAATTAACTTCTCACCTGTCTTTTGGAAATTTACAATATTTTATATTTTGTTTAGTTAAGGAGTTTGTGGAGAACAGTTCTATTTGACGAAAGGTTTTATTACTAACATAAATTGGAGAATTAGTAAGATCTGGGGGACTCTTTGGAAGCAGAAATCCACGATTTCATATTGGATTGAACCCATCGTTTCGATGTATTACAGTGAGTACAGTAGCTTAAAATATATTGAGTTGTAATTCATTAGTTCACATTTTAGAATCCGAATCCCGCGAGGCAGGGTCGTGGATGCTCACTGGTGAGGGGTCCCACGATGGAACGAGACGACTGTCCAGTGCTTCCAGGTTTTCCATGGCGGTCTAGCTTCAACTGACTCATGATCTCAACCACTGAAACATCGTCATTCTTAATATTTGAATTAAGAAGAATATTTTCTCGTTTAAATGGTGAAGAAAACATAAAGCCATCCAATGATTACTTATTTATATTTATGTTTATATTCACTGTAAAGAAATTTTATTAGAATTGCATCATTTCAAACAAATATTACCTTTTTATTTCGAAACTTGAATGGTTACTTACTTATTGGGAACGGATGTTTGTATCGGATTATCTAATTAGATAAAAGCATACATTAATGCCCAATTTCGGTTAAATGAAACCGTTGAAAACCATGGACTGCTGATTAGTTATTTCATCCTAGTTTGAGACTCTTTCATAGTGAGCATTTATCCCCATAACAAGGACTGAACACATAACCTTCAGGTCTCAAAAACATCTTGTTATCTTCAGATCGCTTACACAGAATCTAATCATCCAAATTTCTCACTTAAACCAATTTTCGAGTCATCATTATAACGAAATAGTTGTGCATTTTCTTCCAGCTTTGGATGCTTATTTGCATACAGTCACTTTGTGAATGTAAACTATCTTCGAATATTTAATCGAAAAAAAGAATCAACTGGATTTAGTTATTTACATTTTTGATATGGCATACAAGAGTTAGGCTTGGTAATCAGGTCTTAATCCCACTGATGAGTAAGTAATTTACAAAACTCATGTCCTACAATCACTGTTAGCATTTCATTATATATTTATTTTCTTATCTAATAAATTGTAATATAACCGCATTATTTCACTTTAGAAAAATCCCACTGAGCTGGGTAGTTAAGTTGCCTTTTGATATTTGTTCATTTTGTGACTTATTTCAATAACTCACTTTCGTACGGAGTTATCAACCGACCATATTAATCCTATCGTTGTAAATCATTAACTGATCTATATTCTGTTCATTTGTTCTAGAAATCCCAGTCATCCATCATCATAACTTGCCCAAAAAAATTTACACAGATAAATCATGAGTAGGATGAATGATTTGGACCATAGGTGTCTTTGAAGCATTGTTCAAGTTTCGTGGAACGACCAAGTGAACGATGTCGGAGCTAGACTTATGTTATTTGGGAAAGATGGTACATTGGTTGATGGAGTAATGCATCATCATTGACTGAGGTGTTTGAGATATGTGACATATACCTAACAAGTGCATACCTCGATGAGTGATGATGGTTGGAGGACCAAAGGCGAACAAACCAAAA